CTACATCCTCTACCGCAACGAGTACGAGAATTTGGATGCATACCCGGTATGTCGTGCATCACGGTATAAGATCAGGCGAGATGACCCTGGTGATGTTGAGGGCGAAGGTGAGCGTCCTAGGAAGAGAATCCCGTCCAAGGTGATGTGGTATGCTCCTATAATACCATGCTTGAAACGTTTGTTCAGAAACAAAGAGCATGCAAAGTTGCTGCGATGCCACAAAGACGACCGTATGGTAGATGATACGTTGAGACACCCCGCTGATGGGTCCCAGTGGAGAGCAATCGACAGAGAATTCCCAAAGTTTGCGGATGACGCAAGAAACTTAAGGTTTGCTTTAAGTACGGATGGCATGAATCCTTTCGGGGAGCAGAGCAGCAGTCATAGCTCTTGGCCTATTACTCTTTGTATCTACAACCTTCCTCCATGGCTGCGATGGCATGGCTGCATCTCCATCTCCTCCAAGGCAGTCTCCCCCTCCTCCGCCTCCCGCGCCGTAGAGGCAGAAGAGGCCCCCGCCCTCGGTGAAGTCCCTGGTGAAGAAGAAAGCAAGCCTTCGTAAAACAAAGCCCCCTCCGAAGAAGTTGTCTTACGAGAAGTCTGAAGAGGAATCAAAAGAGGCGGCACAAAAAGATTTGGATAACTCACGGCAAAGATTAGCATAATCGAAAGCAAAGAGGTTGGAACTTCAGAAAAACCCGCCAAAGCCACACTACATAGCTCGACAAGAACCAAGGAAAAAAGTCATTGAAGTGGAGAAAAAACGGCGTGAGGCACGTAAGCCCCCTCCATTATCAGACTATGAACGCTCTCTTGATAGGTCATATAAGGCGTCGCTGAAAGCAAAGAGAGCAGGGAAATATGTTGCACAGCTCGGGCAACAATCTAAGCAATCTATCGACCCGCTAGTTGTCGAGGATGATTGTACAACCGCACAAGGCGGTCCAATCGATAGGGAGGCATCACTCCAAGACTTCATGGACACAATAGGTCTCACACCTCAACAACTCATTGGGAGAGGATCAATACCAATAGCCAAATTTGATATTAACCGGACCTATGTGTATGGCTAGAGTCTTGTCAACCCTAAGTCCTATTCATCACTGGGTACGCAAATGTTCTTGTTAAACAAGTGGTACTTAAATGTGTGTGCGAAGGATGAGGCATGGCTTCTTGCCAGAGTTAGACCAGAGCGTTACTTCAATGGCTATGACATTGTACATATTGAGTTCAATGAATTACACCAACTATTAAACCAGGATGCTCTCGACAAATATGTCATCAGATACTGGTGTCTGTAAGTGATTCTTTCTACAATTGAAGTAACTTGCATGTTAGTTCGTTATCTATATATAGTTATCCTTACACTATATATATTCTTTTGTACTATATAAATGCAGATATGAGATGCTGAAACTAAAGAAAAAAGGTTAATTGATGTTGGTTTCATGGATACGAATCGCACATTCAAGGACATGGTTACTGCATATGATAGATGGCGACCTCAAGTGGAGAAGAATCTGTTTAGGTTCTTAGATAACCAACATGACAAGACACAGATACTCTTCCCTTACAACTTCAAGTGAGTGTTAATGTCTTGTGCCCATTTTATTTTGCTTACTCCATGTTGACTTTAGTTAATGAGTTATGCCTACATATAAACATGTAGCTTTCACTGGATACTATTGGTCATCGATATGCCTAGGAGTCTTGTAAAGACCTTTGACTCAGCGACAAAACCCTGAGAAGATTACCAAGAAATGATAGATATTCTCTAGTGGTAATTTCGGTCTCACACACTGTATACTCTCTTATGCCATTTTATTGATATAACTTCATTTATTTATTTTGTTGGGCAGTGCTTGAAAAACGTTCGTCAAGAATCACCATTATGGTCAATGGAAAGTGCCTCTGGATATAGTCCAATACCTAGTAAGTACTAGCCCTTGTCCTCGTCCTCACCCTCGTCCTCGGCTCTGGCACGGCCTCAATGGAAAGTGCCTCCGGTGATCTAGGCCGCCTCACAGATCTGGCCACCTCGCGTCCTTGCAGCGGGCGGCCTCACCCTCATCCTCGGTTCTGGCATGGCCTCAATGGAAAGTGCCTCCAGTGATCCAGGCCGCCTCGCAGATCCAGCCACCTCGCATCCTTGCGGCGGGCGGCGTCGCCTGGTGGTCGGTCCCCAGCATGGCCTGGTGGCCGGTGCCCTGGTCGCCTGCCCTATCACGCGTGGGAGAGATCGCGACCTCGTCCCTGACGGCGGCTGCGCGGGCTTGGAGGTGACGCTCGGCCTCCAGCCCTCCATCCAGCGGTGCGATGGCAGATCGAGGCCGCCTCGATCTCCTGGCCGTCGCACCATCTCCTCGCCCGCTACTTCTACTCCTCCAATGGCGTTGAGGGGCTACCACCGTCTCTTGACCCCGGCCTCGCGTTGAGTTTTTGTTTTTTTGGAACCACCGATATTATTCGATGATGATTACAGGCTTCCATCCCTAGTTGCTAGGTGAGTGGGGCGCGTTTGAAGATCGCGTGCGTGGGATGGAGGGCGCGGGGGATGAGAAGCTTGTCATCACACGTCAAAGATCGGCCGCCAGATGGGTTTTGGTGTTTTATTAGCTCTTGATTTTAATAGAGATGAGTTTCTATGTGTATTTTTCTGGGTGCACAACAATCGGAGGCTCTCAGCGGGGGATGCTTTCCTAGAAGGAGTTTGTATAATTTTGATTGGTCCATTATATTAAAGATGAGTTAGCATTTTCCACAAACATTTTCAAAGGTTGTTAGCACTCACTAGGTCCTAATGCAAATGCATGAAGTTAAATCACCTAGTGGCACTAGATAATCATAATCACCGTGAGAGTTCCCCTCTTAATAGTACGACCATCTATCCTATACCCAATCACGCACAGTATTGTGTCTTGACTGGCAAAACAAAATGGCTCTAGCATTTACCTTTGCCTTGACCACCATTTTGTTTTTCTCTTTCTTCTTTTCCAAGTTGGAGCACTTGATCGATCTCCATCTTTTGGCCATCTCCATCACTTGAGTGCCCTCTAACTCCATCACTTGGACTTGGACCAACCTATCTCAATTACACACTTAGAGAATAGGGTTAGTCCAATGGGTTTCATCAATTAGCCAAAATCAAACTAGGGCTTTCAACCAGCGAGAACCGACCTAGCTAGTCCAGTTTTTCTAGGGGAACTAATTTTGGCTATATGAGAAACAAATCATAATTTTTCTTTAGAAACTCATCTGATCTAGTGAAAAACTTGTAAAAAGCATATGGAATAAGTTTCCTAATGGGTTAAGATCACCCCTCTATTTGTATGAGAGGATCACAACCGTTTAAGAGATCCAGCTATCCAATCATCAAAAAACCAATCTATGGGAGTATGTCATGTGTTACATATTTCAGCGCCGTAGAACCTACTCTTCCTCGGATCTGTAAAGATGAATTTCAATACCTTGTTCTTACTTACTTTTACCGCTCTACTTCAAGCTCTTCCAACCCCCTTGCTGAACACTTCTCTCGATAAAGATTTGTTGGTATTCTTGGTGGCCTTGCTAATCCTATATGGGTCTTTCGAAAAGGTGTTCGTGGGTGATCCGAGCGAAGAACGAGCCTCAAATAGGCCTCATCGACCCGTTGACCGGTATCTATGTTTAGACCAAGGTTTTAAATATCTAGCTATACCTTCTGCTATATCCTGCTAGAGCTATTTAAAAAGGATTTAGCTAAGTTTTTTCATGTACTTTAGCTCTTAGCTACAGCTATACTATAGCTGGTTGTAGCCTATTTTAGGACATAGACTGCTAAATGCCTTAGGCGGCTATTTCAAACAATGGTTTAGACCTACCTTTGTTGCGTGTCATGGTCGTGTGTGGCCCGGACGATCTTGCCCTTGCTAGTATGTTGGCGAGGTATAGCGTCAACCAATATTTAGGTGGAAATTTGCGTTAGGATACACCCGATCTTAAGTTGCATTCATCTTCCTCTTTTTTCCCTTTTCTATAAATGTTGAGAATAATTAACTCATAGTATTTAATATTACCTTTAATATATTGCGTCTTAGATTTAGTTGTATTTAAAGGTCCTAAAACCCAAAATCCAACAATCTCACTGAGCCCTATATTTTATTCATATCCTTGGTCCTTTTGATTGTTAAGTTGGAGTTGTGATAATGTTTAATTGTAAAAAAAGAATACTAAATTTCTTCCAATCATGTTTGGAAAACAAGTGAATTTGATCTTGCTCATACGGAATCAATTTTTTCTTACATTTAAGACTATTTTTATTATTCAATTTAGTACTCCCTCCCTTTTAATAAATTATATAAGACGTTTGGGGTTTTCTAGATTCATGACTTTTTCTATAAGCATCTCCACGAATCTTTCTAAGATTTACTCTATAAATCATCATTTGGAGAGTCATTGGAGTTAAAATCCTAATAACTTTTCCATATCTTGTGTGCACACTCTAGAGAATCATCATCGTTTTTCATCTTTGGCTAGCGAGAAATCCATAATAGAGAATATCTATATTTGGAGATCCAATTAAAGACTTTTGAAGGGTATTGTTTTCACCAAAATCTATATTCCTATACATTAGAATTAGAAAGATATAAAAAGTCTCTTGAAGTTAGTCTAAGATATATGCTATGTATAATGTATACTAAAAACAATGTATCTACTAAGAAAGCATAAAACGTCTTATAATTTAGAACAGAGTGGGTAAAATTTAACTTATTACTCAATTAAACTCCATTGTAGATATACTCAATGAAACTCCATTGTAGATATATATATACTCAATGAAACTCCATTGTAGATAGAAAACGGTAGTACATATATTACAATATATTTAATAGGAGTAAATAAATGAAATGTACTCGCGCGTATGATCGAGCTAGCTGCATGCCATTGTTTGCGTCTAATTAAGAAACGAGAAAAAGGGAAGGAAATAATTTATGGAAGGATTCGTGCAGTGCGTGCAGTGGTCACAAGGCAGGCGTGAACCACGCCGGCAGCGGCCATAGCCTATGCTTGCCGACCGCACCTATCTTCTCTACCCTGCCGGTCTTTAAGCTATAGACGCCAACGTCCCTGAGCTCGTCTATGAGCTCGGTGCCGTTGGAATTGCAGTAGGCGTTGCACAGGCAGGCACTACCGACATCGTCGTCAGTCAAGTAGACGCAGCCGGGCGTGATGCCCTGGTGCTCCCTCCTCGACAGGCACAGCGATCCGTTGACGCCGACGAAGATTACGGCGTCGCTGATGTCTGCCGCCTCCTCCCACCGGCCTTTGTCGTGGTCCAGTATCTGGACCTTGAAGAAGACGCCCGTGTCCTTGGAGATGGGGCGGTACCGATGGCTTGGGTTTTCGTCATCCCTAGAGTGTTTGAGCACAACCATGAGCCGCCCGTCCGTGGATGCCGTGAGATACTTGCGGCGCAGGTGTTCATCCTCGTAAGCCAGCCTCGGCGCCACTACTAAAAAAATGTTTGTAGCAACATGATAATTTTTTTGTCGGGGCGGCTGGTGATGGAGCCGTCCCTACATTGGCGTATTCAGAAAATACGAGACCAGCCGCCCCTACAAATAGAATAATAGGGGTGGCTGATGATACGAGCCGTCCCTACAAATGAGTCGGATTTGTAGAGGCGGCTCACTCACTAGCCACCCCCGGTGTTGCTATTTGTAGGGGCAGCTGGTGATCGAGTCGCCCCTACAAATGTCCACATATAAAAATCAGCGATTACTGTCCAAATGTGATGATTTTTTTTCCTAAAATTTTCTAAAATCATGCACTATCAAATTACTATCTTCATTTTATCATTCTTTTCATTTGACAAAGTTTAAGCAATTTAAATTTTCAAATTTTAAAAAATAACAAGTTCTAACGAGATTTTCAACCATTAAATGATTTCAGCTAAAAAATGATGAATACCAAAGTTGTATAACACATCAAGATCTACAACTTTTATTTTGGTCACTTCTTCATCTGACAAAGTGATAGTAAACATTGTTCATAAATCTAACATTTTTTTCGTATAGTTTATGAAACTATAAGTCATATGTGAATTTGTGAACAATATTTACTAATACTTTGTCATATGAAGAAGTGACCAAAGTAAAAGTTGTAGATAATGATGAGTTCAACAACTTTTATGTTCACGACTTTTATAGTTGAAATCATTTAAGGTTTTAAAATCTTGTTTGAAGTTGCCATATATTGAAATTCAAAATTTTAACTGCTCAAATTTGGTCAAATGAAAAGATGACAAAAACAAAAGTTGTAGATAATGATGTGTTCAACAAGTTCTATGTTCATGACTTTCTTATTTGAAATCATTTAAGATTTTAAAATCTTATTTGAAATTGATATTTATTGAAATTCAAAATTTGAACTGTTCAAATTTGATCAAATGAAAAGATGACCAAAATATAAGTTGGAGATCTTGACGAGTTATACAACTTTGGTATTTATCATCTTTACAGCTGAAATCATTTAATGGTTGAAAATTAGGTTTGAAGTTGTCATTTTCTAAAATTGAAAATTTGAATTGTACAAATTTAGTGACAAAGATAGATGACCAGACTAAAATAATAGACCATGATTTTAGAATTTTTTTGAAAAACAAACCATCACATTTGGAGTTAGTATGAGGGAGAAAAACTAGTTACAAGTTTCAGCCACAGATTAAAAAGAGAAATCACACTTGTTCATCATTGATCATCATGAATAGTTGTGATTTTTCTTTTTAATTTCTGGGTAAAATTTGTAACTAGTCTTTCTTCTTCATTCTAACTCCAAATGTGATGATTTTTTTCCTAAAATTTTCTAAAATCATGCCCAATTAAGTTACTATGTTGATTTGGTCATTCTTTTCATTTGACAAAGTTTAAACAATTCAAATTTTCAAATTTTAAAAAATAACAAGTTCTAACGAGATTTTTAACTATTAAATGATTTCAGCTAAAAAAGTTATGAATACCAAAGTTGTATAACTCATCAAGATCTACAACTTTTATTTTGGTCACTTCTTCATCTAATAAAGTCATAGTAAACATTGTTCACAAATCAACATGTCTCTCGTATAGTTCATGAAACTATAAGTCATATGTGAATTTGTGAATAATTTTTACTAATACTTTGTCACATAAAGAAGTGACCAAAATAAAAGTTGTTGATAGTGATGAGTTCAACAACTTTTATGTTCACGATTTTTATTGTTGAAATTATTTAATGTTTCAAAATCTTTTTTGAAGTTGCTATTTATTGAAATTCAAAATTTCAACTGTTTAAATCTGGTTACATAAAAAGGTGACAAAAATAAAAGTTGTAGATACGGATGTGTCCAACAACTTCTATGTTCATGACTTTCTTATTTGAAATCATTTAAGGTTTCAAAATCTTATTTGAAGTTGACATTTATTGAAATTCAAAATTTTAACTGTGCAAATTTGGTCAAATAAAAAGATGACCAAAATATAAGTTGGAGATCTTGATGAGTTATACAACTTTGGTAGTCATCACCTTTACAGCTGAAATCATTTAATGGTTGAAAATCAGGTTTGAAGTTGTCATTTTCTGAAATTGAAATTTTGAATTGTTCAAAATTAGTGACAAAGATAGATGACCAGACTAGATTGATAGAGCATGATTTTAGAAAATTTTGGGATAAAAACCATCACATTTGGAGTTAGTACGAGGGAATAAAACTAGTTACAAGTTTCACCCGTAGATTAAAAAGAGAAATCACACTTGTTCATCATTGATCATCATGAACAGTTATGATTTTTCTTTTTAATCTCTAAGTAAAATTTGTAACTAGTCTTTCTCACTCGTATTAAATCTAAATATGATGATTTTTTTTCTAAATTTTTCTAAAATCATGCCCTATCAAGTTAGTATGTTGATTTGGTCATTCTTTTCATTTGACAAAGTTTGAGCAATTCAAATTTTCAAATTTTAAAAAATGACAAGTTCTAACAAGATTTTCAACTATTAAATGATTTCAGCTGAAAAAGTGATGAATACCAAAGTTGCATAACTCATCAAGATCTACAACTTTTATTTTGGTCACTTCTTCATCTGATAAAGTGACAGTAAACATTGTTCACAAATCAACATGTATCTCGTATAGTTCATGAAACTATGAGTCATATGTGAATTTGTGAATAATGTTTACTAATACTTTGTCACATGAAGATGTGACCAAAATAAAAGTTGTAGATAGTGATGAGTTCAACAACTTTTATGTTCACGACTTTTATAGTTGAAATCATTTAAGGTTTCAAAATCTTATTTGAAGTAGTCATTTATTGAAATTTAAAATTTCAACTGTTTAAATTTGGTCAAATGAAAATATGATTAAAATAAGAGTTTTAGATAATGATGTGTTCAACAACTTTTTTGTTCATGACTTTTTTATTTGAAACCATTTAAGGTTAAAAATCTTATTTAAAGTTGACATTTATTGAAATTCAAAATTTGAACTGTTCAAATTTGGTCAAATGCAAAGATGACCAAAATATAAGTTGTACATCTTGATGAGTTATATAACTTTGATGTTTACAAAATTTTCATTTGAGGTCATTTAGTGTCCTAAAATTCTATTAGTTGTTTTGAAATTCAAATTTTAAAATTTTAAAATATTATTTTTGTAAAGAAGAAAATATAAAATTATATCTATATATATAATAAACTTGTTTATATATACATATATTTATATATATATAATAATAAACAAACGAATATATAAATTTACAAGTTCTTTATATATGAATGAATTATAGAATTAGTGATTAAAATAAATTAAAAAATATTTGTAGGGGCGGCTCACTTAGGAGCCGCCCCCACAAATGCCCTCCAGTATATAAGCCAGAGCCCCGAAAATATTCTAAGTCAGGACGCGATTCTTCCTTTCAGACACCGTTAGGCTGCCGAACCCGCCGCCACCGCCACCGTGCCCGTGCGCGCCCGACCGCCGCCACCGTGCCCGTGCGTGCTTCCTCTCACCTCCGCCAGCCCATGCACGCCTGGCCGCACGCTTCCTCTCACCTTCGCTCCATTCGACGTTGGGACCCGCTGTGGAACCCTAGCCGTGGGCGACGCTGTTCCTCCGTGGAACCCTAACCGCTGGGACCTGCTTCGACTGCTTCCTCTGCGGCACGCGCTCCACCGCTTCGAGTATGGTGTCCCCCGCGTCCCCTATCTCGCCATCGACGTCAGCACCGAAGAAACGAGGTGCGGTCCCTGGCGTCCTCTCCCCCTTCGTCGTCGTAAGCACCCGAGGAGACGAGGCGCGGACCCCCGCGTCCCCGCCCTCCACCTACACCAGGTGCCTAGTTCCTCATCGTGTCCTTCACCGACGACGAGCACCACACAGTGTCTGCGCGCCTTCTTCTTTCCCTTGTCATTGCGCGCTAATGTCCTATTGATCCTACCCTAGGGTTCGGTCGATTGCTTGTGTTAGATTTTTTGTTTCCTTAGATGCGATGGTGGTATGAGTCCTCTGATTTGCTCTGATTTTGGTTCCTGCGTTTGCTGGTTTCGTTGAGGATGATAATGATGAGTAGGGTGTCGAATTGGTAGCAAAATATTTGTGACTTGGTGTCTGTATGTATTCTGTAATGCATTGATCTGCCCCGGGTTCGATTGTTGAAATTGATACTAGGATGCCTAGACATAGGCCATGCTTCGCATAAGTTAGCTCATGTGGCACATATATGTGCAGCTTGATGATTTCTTCACCATGGTTTTGTGTCATGTTTGGTTAGGTAGGTCTTGATGTGAGCCGAGGTGAGAGTATGTGCAGATGAAACATGCTTCCTAAGTGTCTTATAATGTGCTATTTGGTTGATATGTGCTTCTATTTCTGATTACCAACACCTGCAGTTTAGATGAAATGACAAAACATTTAGTTGATAAGTGTTGCCAAGCCAAATGTGTTTTAACTAGTTTGCTTAGGATTGTTTTATCTTGTAGCTTGAAAATTCAAACAAGTTAAAACTTTTCTATGGTGATCTAATTAATCTATTATGCTTTCTGGACTAAACTTTCGAAGACTTACATAAAAGGCATTGTTGTCAGTTGTGCGGTTTTCAAGTTTTGCATGTAATTAGGGTCCTGATCTTCAGTCTCTATGTGGTCTTGTAGCTTGAAATCTGCTTAGTAGTTTAGCCTTTTCTACCTGATTGATCATAAACAAATCTAATGTCCTATTGATCCTGCCCTAACATGGATGCTTAAAACAATGTTTTTGTTGGGAAATTCACACCCTGTACAGATTCTTTTGGGCTAACTTCATAAGCTTGCCAACTAAAATTAACACCTTGTACAACTGCCTAGATGTGAACTCAATTTTATTATCTTTTATCTAAGTTAAATGCTTGTTTAGTTTCCAAAA